TTTTTCTCAGACACACCAGATAGTCACTGGCCGAGTTGTTCCAAACATAAAGTTCTTGATCCATTTGGAATATTGCTTGATGGGATGGGATGCACTGGGGTGGACCCTGGGGGTCAGCGCAGGAAGGGGGATCTGGCCTCCTTGACTCTTTAGCTCATTCCACTCCTCAATGGGGCAGCGTGCTGCAATACATGCATCGAAGCTGATGGCACCGTGTGCGTCTTTGTAGCTCGAGTCCAGAAAACTCTCCTCCAAGGCCAAGCGTGACAAGGAGAAGCAGAGCTGTAAGAGCTGCGGTGAGACCTTCAACTCCATCACCAAGAGGAGGCATCACTGCAAGCTGTGCGGGGCAGTGAGTGCGGGCGAGAGGGAGGGAAGGGCTCCGACACCGAGCAGGGGTCCCTTGCCAGGCGCTCACAAGTCCTCAAGGGCAGGAGCTGAGCCCTGCCAGCCAGCGGCAGATGCTGCGCATGCGTGCAGCTGGTGAGTTCTCAGAACCACGTGGCCGCCCCGTAAGGACACCTCCAGATCCCGCCTCTTGGACGCACATGTCCTTGAGCATGAGATTGTCCCTCTGCAGTAGAAGCTTAATCACATTTCTCCTGTCAGCTCCAGTGTCTGACAAACATTCTTTGCAACTAAAAAGACTTTGGAGTTGGAACCACAGCGCCCCTAGCTGGGCGACCTTGAGCACAAAGGGGTGGTAGTGTCCTGGCACGAGGAGCAGAGGAGGGACTGGAGGGGAGGAGTGTGGCCAAGGTGGAGCCTCTCCCGCTGACCTCCGCCCCAGTGCCCAGGGCCCCTGTGAAGAGGGACATCTCTGACAGTCCCCCACAAACACCCACCCATCTCCATCCCTCTTCACTCACCTCCAGATCCCTTGCTCCTGAGAGTGGACTATCAAAGCATGTAAGTGTCCCTGAGGAGCAGGGGCCGTGGAGCGCACCTGTAATCCCAGTGACTCCGGAGGCTGAGGCAGGAGGTTTACCAGTTCAAGGCCAGCCTGGGTAACTTATTGAGACTGTCTCAAAGTAAAAAAAAAAAAAAATAACAGGGGCTGAGGTTGTAGCTCAGTGATAGAGTGCCCCTGGGTTCCATCCTCAGTACCAGAGGTAGAGGAGGGAGGAAGAAACCAATGATTCAAGTATTTTTAGGTTAAGGTATTGAAATTACATCTGTTAGCAAGTGGATCTCACCACAGATGACTTGGAGATGTTTTTTCAAAGGGTGTCAACAGTCTGTTCCTTGCAGGTGTTCCTTGTCACGTCTTTACGTAAAACCTTGCCATGCTGGCCAGGGTCTAGAGGAGGAAGGAATAAGTGGATGAGTCCTTGGATGGGTGGCTGGGTGGGTGGATGGCTACATGGATGGATGGATGATGGATAGATGGGTGGTGGGATGGATGGAAAGGTGAATGGCTGAGTAGTTGGGGAGAAGGGTGTGGGGAGTACAGATTGGCCCACAGGCTGTGGCTCAGGCTCAAGCTGTGCCTGGGTCAGGGAAGCCAGCAAGGTCAGGTGGAAGATGGAGCTTCTGTGGGCTCCTGTGCTGGCGTCTTGGTGGAAAGCAGATGGGAGACAGCTGGAGTCTCTCGTGAGGAAGGAATGGAAGAGGATGTGAGAGGCGCTTATCCAGAGCCTGGGCAGCCGTGGAAGGGAGGGAGGAGCCCAGGTCAGCTGACTGATGTGCAGTGGGGAGGGGCCTGGCATCTGACAGGGCGCAGGACAGGGTGGGAGGGCTCAGCTGGCTGTGCCCAGGGAGGGAGCTGTTAGGAGCCCCAGTCTCGACGGGGGTCAGGAAAGCAGGGGAGATGGCCCAGAGAGGGGTGAGCATCTCAGGAGTGGTGATTCCACGCTGCCAGGGCTCCCAGGTGCCAAGTCCAGCATCATCCTTGACCACAGGGAGGCCAAGTTTGGTGTGACCCAGGCAATGTCAGGTCAGGGCACGAAAATGCCCAGGGTTGAAAAGAGAAGGGGGTGCTGAAGTGGGGGAGTGCAGAGAGCTGGGTCAAGAGGAGAGGCTCGTGTTCTGGGGAGATGACCCAGTGCAGGGAGGAAGACTGAAGCACCAGAGACAATGGGACAAGGCCCAGAGAAGAGTCCCAAAGGGGCACCCATTGGCTTGTTTCCCTGTTCTTCCGTATTCCATTTTATGCATGGATTTCCTTGTTCATGCATCATGGCCACTTGGGTCACCTTCATCTTTGAGGGATGATGGGTAGTGCTGCTAGGAGCTATGCACATGTTTCTTCCAGTTCCTGTCTTTGGTTCTTTGGGTGTATGTCCAGAGGGGTTTTGCTGGTTCCTATGGTAATTCTATGTTTAATTTTTTGAGCAGGAACCACACTGTACCATAGCAGCTGTCCCATTCTACATCCCCCTGATAGTAAAAAGTTTCCAATTTCTCCATCTCACCGACACTTGTGTGTGTGTGTGTGTGTGTGTGTGGCATCGGGAATTGAACCCAGGGGTGCTCTGTCACTGTTACATCCCCTGACCTTTTTATTTTGAGACATAGTCTTGCCAAGGCTGGCCTCAAACTTTGAATCCTTCTGCCTCAGCCTCTCGAGTCGCTGGAATAACAGGTGTTCATCACAATGCCTGGCTATTTTTTTTTTTAAATAATAGCCATCCTGAAGGGTGTGAGGTGGTTTCTCCTTATGTTTTGATTTGTATTTTCCTGATGACCAGTGATTTGGGGTCTTCTCATGTGCTTGGTGGCTCAGCCCATTCTTTTTGCATATAGGTCCTTGAACCCTGGGTCATCCAGGTAAGGAGGACAGGACATGGGGGCACCAGTCTTGCTCTGCCCTTAGAGCACCCAGGGTTGCTCTGGCCCCCTCCTCATTCTAGGCCAAGCCGTTACTCCTCCCACGTTGTTGAGTCTCTCCTTCTCCTCTGCCTGGGTTTCGGGGTCACAGGTGCTCTCTGTCTTGCAGGTCATCTGTGGGAAGTGCTCTGAATTCAAGGCTGAGAACAGCAGACAGAGCCGGGTCTGCAGAGGGTGTTTCCTGGCAGAGCGGGTGGCCCCTGCAAGTCCCAGTGCTGAGGCTCCCTCTGATTCCAAGCAGAGCACAGAGGTGGGTGGCCCTGGTTCCTCAGATTGGAAATGATGGGGAAGGGGGTCTCAGTGGACTTCACAGGTCCTGGAACCGGGGAGAGCTAGTTGGAGTGATTGCCAATTGAAAGCAGAATATCATACAAAGTAATCGCACATTGGGCTTCTCAGGACGGCTCAGGGCGGAGGCTTGGGGATGATTCTTATCCAGGGGTTAGATGGGAACCCGTGTCAGCTCCACTCCCTGTGGCCCTGATTAGTATGGAGCTGCCCCCAAGTCCAGCACTGAGGTCTACCCGATGGCCTGCCTCCCTGCTAGTCCTTAGGACAGGCAGGTCCTGGAGGTACGTGGGAGGTTCCCTACTTCCCCTGAATATGGCCACTTTTCTAACACAGTCCCTACTTTCTGAAGTCCTAGGAAATCTGAGAAAGGGAAAACATGCTTTTCCAGAAAAATGTATTGCCCTTTCTCTCCACTTGACACACCATGATGTTCTCCGCGCCAGCTTCAAGAAGTTGGGCCTCCTGGGACCTGTTTATAACATTGGTTTTCCTCCTAAGGCTTCAGTTGGGTGGCCAGATAGGCCGGGGTCCATGTGTGTTCGAAGCTCCTGACCATCCTGGCTCGTAGCTGTCAGGGGTCCCTTCTCTGGGTTTTTGCTCTAAGAGGTCACAGACGATGTAAGGATATGAGGACCAGGGCAGAATGGAGGCCCAGTAGGATGCTCCATGCCCTGCCCACCTGGGCCCACCTGGTTCTGCATTGTCAGTACTGACACGTATTCTCGGAGACCTGTGGAGGGTGGGCTCAGGCCTCAAAGGGCCACCAGGTCTTAGGAGACCAGATCTAGCAAATGGTGTTGGAACCACGTGTAGATGTCTCGGGGACTCGTCTCCAGAGCAGCTCTAGAGCACATCACAGGACCTGTGAGTGAGGCAGGTGAGGGAGTTGTGTGTGTGTGTGGCATGGGAATTGTGTGTACGCTTGTGTAGTGGGTGTGCTTCTATGTGGCATGTGGTGTGTGAAGAACTGAAACGGCGGGTCCTTTGCATGGTGACCCCCACGTGGTACTTACTGTTAGGCTTTTCTCCTGAGGTTTCGACCCCGTGGCCTCACTCCTATGTTCTACAAACTCCCCGTGACTCTATGGCACCCGAGCCCCTCGGAATGCCTGGAGTGACCCCTGGAACCAAGTGAGGCCGGGCCCAGCCTCCCTCCAGGTGTCAGCCGCATCTCTGTGGCCAGCTCCTTCTGAGCATCTCTGGCCCCTCAACCAGGGGATGAGGGACAAGTTCAGTGACCTCACCTGTCTCTGTGTTCCTAGAAACCACCCGCGGTGGGTCCCCAGCCCAGCCTCATCAGCGGGCCCCTGTGGCTGTCAGACAATGGCACATCCTGGATTGAGGTATGGGCCACCATCCCCGCATCGGACCCCCGGGTGCTGGACCTGCGTGGCAGCAGCGAGGTATGTGTTCCCTGCCCCAGGCCATGTGCCTGTCCTCACAGCCCAGAGTCTCAGGCCTGTAGCAATCACAGCAAGTCTGGGTCACCCTCCTGGGGCTGAGCTATTCTGTGGTCTTAGGCCTCAGTTTTCCCAGCTGCCCAGAATAACCCTCCTCCCCACCCTGAGGAGACAGGGTGATGCCAGGACCCCAGAGCCAACCAGGGGACGAGGGGCAGGCAGGGGGCACAGAGGGCTGGCCCCTCCCTCCCACACACACTTGTTTGTTGTTCACCTGTTCATTCGCCCTGGCTGGACGCAGCTGGGAGTACAGAACGTGGCAGGTGCAGCTCCAAAGCCCACATGGCCCCTCCTTCATCAGGAACTCTTGCCCTGTCCCTCTCAGTCCCAGTTGCTGACTGCCCGTGTCACAGGGGCTGTCCTGACTTGGCTCCCTGGGACTTGAGAATCAGAGGGAAGCCACGGGGCCTGGGGTTTTGGTGAGGTGGGCAAGGCCCCCTGCCAGCATCCTCCCAGGGGCCGCCTGTCCTGCTGTCGAGGGCACTGCGGGCATGTCCACAGGCCCATCCTGCTCAGAGTTGGCCTGGCACTGGGCATGGCAGTCCAGCGGCCTGCTCAGGTGGTGACCCTCTCTTGCTGCAGGATGGCCGGCTGCCGCACGCCGTCCCTCTGTCTGGCTGCAGGGTGGGCACTCCAGACCCCGAGGAGGGGCTGACAGCGGGACACCTGTGGAAGCTGCAGAAGGGTCAGCAGCGCTGGTACTTCAGGGCCCCCTCCAGGGAGCTGCGGCAGAGCTGGCTGGGAGCACTGCGTGCTGCCGCCCTCGGGGACACCACCCAGGAGAGCCCTGGTGCCCCGCAGCCCCAGGCCCCGACCGGCACAGCTTCTTCCTGAGCAAAGCTTTGCTCTCTGTGACAATGACACGTGGAGCCTCTGCTCTCCTGGGAGGCAACGTCTGACCACATGAAGAAGTGAAGCGCTGCGGGGGTGGGGCGGTGGGAAGTCCCACGGCTCAGACCCTGGAGGGTCTCTCTGCTTTGATGAGGAGAAACTGAGGCCCGGAGAAGACCACCGCTTGCCCAGAGTCGCCCAGCACGTCTCAGGAAAGAGCCCAAGCCTGGCTCTAGCCCAGCAGTGTGGCGGGAGCAGGGAACCTGGGCCACTGCCAAAGGCCGCGTCCTCTGAGTCGGTCCTGGGGTCGCTTTGGCTCGTGAGACAGAGGAGGCTGGGTGGGTGCTGCCCGGCGATGACCGCTTCCCACCGGGTCCGCTGTTGCTCCTGGAGTGGGCAGTGCTGCCTGGGGTCTGCCCTGGCCCCTGTGGAACTGGACTGGGACTTGCTTCTTGGGGCTCTACCTTCCTTCTCGGCCCTCTCCGAGGCTCTGCCTCAGCTACCCACGGAGGGACCAAGGTGGACCTGTCCTGTCCCACAGCAGGACTCTCAGTTCCTGAACAGTCACAGTCAGAAACACTGCTGGAGCCTGGCCCTGGCCCTGTGGGGTGGGCGTGGAGACTGTGGCTGTCCCCTTCGTGGGTGGAAGCCACGCCTGTCTGTGTAAATAAACACTGGCTCTCAGCACGTGGGCTCAGCCTCAGGGCCCACCCCAAGGAAGGTGATGACGCAAGGGTGACAGAATCGCCTGGGCTACTCCCTGGCCCAGCAGTTCCACATCTCTGGTCCAACCAAGGGTGTTGGGGTCCTGCGTACAAGACGTGGGGGACATGGCAAAGGTCATGAGGGTGGGGGTACCGTGCAACAGAGCCCAGGGGCCAGCAGGAGGGGGGGGAGTTAGAGACTGATGACAGCACTATGTGGGGTGCCCACCTGGGAGGCTGAGAGGGTGGGTGTGAGCAGAAATGGGTGATTGTCACAGGTAGATGGGGACACAGGTAAGGTGGGGCCGGGGCATAGTGAGCTGGGGTGGGGCAGAGGCAAGGTGGGGGGAACCAGCTCCTGCAGGAGACTCCTGGGCTGTGTGGGGCGGCCCCAGGACACTGTGCGTGGAGTCCCTGCTACACCTGGCCGTGTGCCTGGCTCAGGAAGCAAAGCAGCTCCATGCGCCCACCTAGGAGCTGGGGCCTGGTCCTTCTGACTGTCCCGCAAGCAAATGCATCAAGTGCCCCACTCAGCTTGGGCCTGGGCAGGGCTTCAGGTGCAGAGGCATGAGGGCCCCACGGGGTGGCTGGAGCAGCCCTGATGTCACTTTCTACCCTCAGCCTCTTCGAGGCTCACACCCTCACTTGGGCCCTAACACGGCTCCACCTGCTCCCATAGCTGCGTTCATTCCTGCCATCTCATCACCACCCCAGGATGTTCCCACCTGAGGGGGGCAAACAGTCACGGACAGATGAAGCCTGTGAGACCCACGGAGCCATCAGCTGGAACTGGCCCCCTGGGCACAGTGACTCCCGTAGGGACTGCCGTCTGTGGGGGTCCAGAGACTGCTGTGGGGCTCCCAGGGTGGGGCCCGTAACTCCAACTTCTGTCTCCAGCTGCAGCAGCCCAGACCTCACAGTGACTTGCGGGTGAACCGAGGCCAGTGCTGGACAATGTGGGGAGCCTCCCCCAGTGTGGGCCTGAGAGGCAGAGGGAGCTTCCAGTGTTCTCTAGAGGTGAGAGAAATCCGGGGGAAAAAAGAAAAGAGAAACAAACAAACAATAAAAGGAAACCCGGGCGTTCTTCCTTGTGAAATATCCCGATAAATGTTAGCCGTCGCTGCAGTCT